AGTTGTGACTAAGACAATCCCAAAGGACTCTCACTGACCCCATTGTCATGAAGGCTGGGGGTCGACCAGATGGCCTGTTGAAAGTGCTTCTGATGGCCAGACCCTGTGCTCCCTGCTGCCTCTCTCCTGTGGGCACACACATTTCTTCCCCACGTGGACGGGTCTCCCGTGTGCCAGGAGCATCACCATTCACCCCAGCAGAGCGAGTGGGGCGAGAGCGGGACTGGGAGGCAGGCCGGCCTGGGTTGGAGTCTCAGGTCCACTGCTGACCGTCAGTCTGTGAGCGGGTAAGGGGAGCACCCAGCGCGGTGTGGACCCTGATGGGACAGGAATGAGCAGGAGCGTTGCTGAGGCCTAGTCTCTGCTGGTGACCAGGAACAGCCTCCTCCCCACTGCCCCCCACTTACAGTTGTTCTGGGGAGCAACAGAAGTAGAACGTTGTGGGGAAACTCACGTCGAGGCATCGTGACCGTCAGGCGGCCCCCGTCCCAGGCGCTCACAGTGGAGCCCGGGTCCCACCCGCCCTCGCCCACGGCCGGGCCCCGGCAGCTGTGCGCAGAGCTTTGGGCCGCTGACGCAGAACCCCCTCGTGACCGGTCTGTGGGCGGCAGGGTGTGTGGTGAAAGCACGCCTCCCCTGCTCCTGTGCTGGAGGGGAATGGTGGTCCCCCCCCAAAAAAAAAACCACACACAAAAACAGCTGCCCCCACCCGGTCTGGCAGGATGGAAGGACCCCAGGCAGCCCCTCGTGTGGGAGGACGGGGACCCTGGACCCTCTTTCTCCCAGAGTGCCTTGCCTCTCGGCCGCCCCACTTCTCCTGAAGGCCGCGCCCGTCCACATTGGGAAACGGCACACAGTTTACATGGGAAATGTCAGCTGCCCACATATGAAAATATACACGTCATTAAGGCCTAAGTGCTTGCGTCTGGAGATAGAGCGCCCGTCTCCCGGGCTGACCTTTTGTTCGCTGATGGAAGCGCCGCTAATGAGCGCGGAGCTCCTCGGCGGGATGTTTTCATATGTTGAAGCGAAGCATATGGTGGCCATTAGCCTGGGATCGGGGGGAGCATTATGCAAATAGCATTTGCCCAAACAGGCAGAGTCCGCTGCACCTCATTCTCCGACCCCGTGGCCCTAAGAAGGGCTTTCTCCTCAGGGCCAAGGTCACATCCCTCACACTGTCTGAGAAGGACGCCTTGGGGGGCACGGTGATGGGCGGGGGGGAGTAAGGCTCGGAATAGATTGCCAGGGGCCAGCAGTGCGGCCGTGGAGGGGTCCTTCCCTCCCTGGTCTGTTCTGTCAGTCCCCCCTCTGTGCCACGCGTGGGTTAATCAGCTGGGCCCGAAGGGGTCTTCCCAGGAGAGCCCTCTGCGACCTCCTCCTCCTCCTCCTGCTGCTCCATCCTGTGACCCGAGTCTCTGAACAAGTGCAGTGTTTCCCAAACTTTTGACACATGTGTGCCCCTTCTATAATTTTCGTAACGCTGAGTGCCCCTCGTACTCACGAGAACGTAGAATTAGGCGCAGCTAAGCACGGTGCAGTGCATATCCCCACCAAACTCCGGTGCAACGCGTACCCCCACCAAACTCTTCCCATACCCCTGGGAGTACGCGCACCACACTTTGGGAAACACTGAAGTAGAGGGTATGTGCTTTCGAGGGCTCCGAGGGTGACCCCAGGATTATCGACCTCTCCCTCAGGGCTCCCCCCGCCCCCCAAAGGAGCTCACATTATTCCCTCACCTGTTATGACGAGGCCGCACACCTCAGGTCTGAGAGGACTCACTAGGGCATTGTGTCCCCTGTGCCACCCGGTCTTAGAGGCCTGCAGGCAGGTCTACCTGTGGGTGTCAGTGCAGTGAAGCATGGGCGCATGGGGCTCTGCAGCGCCACCTTGTGGACTAACCGTCACACTGGCCGAGGCTGGATGACCTGGTGGGTGCAGGCAGAGCCCACGGGGCTTGGCTTTTGGCTGCCTGGGCACTGAATCATTCCTGGTTGATAATGTGCCTGAATATGGTAGAGGTTTCCATTTAAAAAAAAAATCTTTTATTGATTTCAGAGAGGGAGGGAGAAGGAGAGAGAGATAGAAACATCAATGATGAGAGAGAATCACTGATCGGCTGCCTTCTGCACGCCCCCGACTGGGGATTGAGCCCTTGACTGGAATCGAACCTGGAACCCTTCAGACGCTCTAGCCACTGAGCCAGACCGGCTAGGGCAGCGGTTTCCGTTTTGATGGAGCAGAGATGAGGGAGGTCTGGCCAAGGCCACGGGTCCGAGGGCAGGTCGCTTTCTTCCCTGCGGGAGGGGACAGAGCTCTCTGGCCAGTGCCCCGGGCTGCGAGGCCTTGTCCCGCAGGCACGCCTCGTTGTCTTGAGCTGCCCCGGGAGGTGACCACAGAGCCCTCCCAAGAGCCGCGGGGTCCTCATGACTGTGGTCAGAGGGGACTTTCTGGCAGAGCCGAGGGCGGCCGGCTGGTTAGCTTCGGCTGCCTGTGACCATCGGGAGGCAGGCGTCCAGGGCGGGGCCTCCGGGGGAGAGAAACCCTGTCCCAGTCCCCCCTGGGCCGGAAGCCACGCCCCCAGACTCGGTGCCACACATTTGAAAGGACTTAGACCCCTAAAAGGCAGCGTCCTTCTCAGCCAAGGCCCGCGGGCTGGCGCTGGTTGAGGAGACGCTGTGGTGGCCAAAGAGTAAGTGTCACTTCAGGCCCTGCTGGCGGGAAGGGGTCCCAGGACCCGGGGGACTTCCTCGGAGACCTTCCGGCTGCTGTTCGTTCTGTAAACACCCAAGGCCTCAAGGCCCTTGCTGTTGGACATGGAGGAGGATGGCGCCCATCCCTCCTGCCCACCCTGACCCTTAGCTTCCTCCTAGAGGGACAGGCCCTGGTAGAAGGAGCCACTGCACTGCCCAGCCCAGCTCCCCTGCTTTCCCTATCCCCAGGCGGCATTGCTGCCCAGCCCCCTGGCCTGTAGGGCACACCCCACCTTCAGCTCACCTCACAGGGCCCCTGGGACCGGGAGGGGAAGGGATCAGAACCGTCTTCAAGGACAGGGGGGTACGGGGTGGGGGCTGGGGGTGCTGAGGCCTCAGAGCCTTTCTTACGAGAGGGGGTACACTCGCTGCCTGGAGCGCCCGTGAGCCTTCCTAACGGTCTCCCCCCCGAAATTCACTTCTCCCCCTGAAATGCCCTCTGAGCAGCTGCTCCGTCTCCCCTGGCGTCTGGGTTTCCGGTTCTGACCGGTTCTGGCCAGCCGCTTCTTCCTCCCGTCTTACTGGCAAAGGTGGCATTCCCTGGAGTCACTTGAAAGCGGTTTGGTTGGAATCCTTAATCTCTTCATGTCGAGCCAAGGACTGGATTGAAGCCCCGGTTGTTACATTGAACACATTCTTAGCTGCTCATTAACTCCCGTCCGGCTTCGGCTGTGGGCAGAGCCCCCGGAGCCCCCCGCCAGCCGGTGCCAGAGAGCGGGGTTGGTGTGGCTGAGAAGGCAGCCAGGTGGCTGTCCTCGGCGGCAGGTGGGAGGGACCGTGAGGGGAGGGAGGTCTGAGGCCACATTCCGCTCTGCCTCTGCCCCATCCTCCCTGCAGCCTTTCCCCGATGACACCACCCCGGAGGCTCTCCTCTCCCGGCCCGGTGGCTCGTTGCCCTGAGCTGCCCTCTCCGTACCAGCTCTGCCTGCCTCTGCCAGAGCACCTGGGGGTGTCCTGGTCAGCCCCAGGGTGAAGGCCACACCTCAGAGGCCTTCTGGGAGGAGGGGAGTGGATGAGGGAGCACAGGAGGCTCAGACAACCCCCTACCCACCCACCCAGCCTCCAGTCAGACTCATCTGGTGATTTCAGAGAGGAAGGGAGAGGAAGAGAGGGCTGGAAACATCAATGATGGCAGAGATTCATTGATTGGCTGCCTCCTGCACACCCTACACGGGATCAAGCCCGCAATCCGGGCATGTGCCCCGACCAGGAATCAAACCGTGACCTAGTTCATATGTCAACACTCAAGAGCTGGGAAGAGAAAGCAAGTCTTTCCTAACACAACATGTTTGGAAAAGATGCGTCCACACCCATCTTTCTGAGCCCACTCCCTGCAATTTTCCCAATTAATCCTGTGATTTATTAAAAGCCCACCCCAGGGCCCAGCTGGTGAGTGAGCAGCGGGAGGAGGGTGATGGTGCGGGGTGGGAGGGGCCGCCTGCCCAGCTGGCTGCTGCTCCCCGGGAGGACGCTGGAGCTGTCCTTCCAGCGGGAACTGCTCCGGCCAGGCAGCTCACCCGAGGCGCAGAAGGCAATGACAGGACGTTTACTGCACACGTTTCTGTCACGTGCCAGGATCTGGGCCAAGGGCTTGATCTGGTGGTTTTATTGATTCCTTCTGAGAGAAGCTGTTGTTTCTGATCATCTTCCTGATCACTGAGGCTGAGCAGGGGCCCGCGGCTACAAGGAGCAGATGTGGGGTTCGAACCCTGGCGGGTCGGTGCCAAAGCTCTGATCATAGCGCTGCTGAGCTCCCCGCCCCTCGCTGCTGGGTCGCCCTGTCTGCTTTCCCTTTTACCCCTTCCAGATCCTTCTGGACGTGACCTTGAGGCTGGGCAGGGGCTCATCTCAAGTCTGCCCCTGGGGGGGAGGGGCTCACCAGTGAGCCGGCTTATTGCACGGCTCCTCCCACCGGGAGCACTCCCACCGGGAGCACTCCCACCACATCCGGTTCTGCCGAAGACCCAGGGCATGGGCCATCCTTGTCCATGTTCTGCACATGAGGGCGGCGATGTCACAGGAGCCATGTGACCTCCAGGAGGTCCCCCCTCTGACAGCAGCCGAGCAGAACCCTGACCCGAAGTCTGGGCCCGTGCACCCCCTTCCGGCCCAGCCACCTCCCTGCACCCTGGGCACTGAGCAGGCGGCCCAGGGCCAGGGGCGGGCGGGGAAGACCACCCTCCCCTCACTCACCCAGCCGCCCTGCGCCTCCCCCTCACCCGCCACCTCTTCTCTTCCCTCCAGTCCCCGGTTTTCGTCGCCCAAGTCGGCCGGGACCTGGTCTCCCAGACAGAGGAGAAGCTCCGACAGCGGCCCTGCAAAGAGCTCTTCTCGGCCTGCGCTCAGTAAGTGCCCGGCGGCCGCCTCCCTCTTCCCTCCCTTTCTCCTCCCTCCCTCTTGGCCTTTGGCAGCCACACAGCCACCTGGTGGGGTGGGGGGGCTGCCACCAGCTCCCACCTGGACGCTGGACGCAGGCATGGCGGGCTGGTCGCAGTGGCCAGGGCCCGGTGAAGCCCGCCCAGCTGTTTGTGGACACCCTAAGAAGGAAAAAGATAGGGGGGGCCAAGTCCAAAGAAAACATCAGCTGCAAAGGGCGTTGAAAGCAGTGGCTCTTAGGCTGTTGAGACGGAGAAATGTGCACAAATTTGATTGGTCTGGCTGGTTTGGAAATCCTTCCCAGGCCCCCAGCCCCCTCCACGGCCACCCGCCAGAGGCGGGGGCACTGCCTTCTCTGACACCCCATCACCTCTGCAGGGCACACAACGACCCTGATGGAACAGGAGATAAGTTGGTGCCAGCTCTGTACCAATCAAGCCCCCCTAAACCCCCACACACACACGACAAAGGCTTAACACACACGTGTTCATGTGCCCACACACATCGCTCCCCATGAGCTGACAGGTGTGTGAACACACACATACCTACATGCAAGAGGCCTCTGGAGCAGGCCACCCATAGGCTGGGTGAGTCTGGGACTTTGCTCAGCCTCTGTCCGCAGACAACTGTGTGCCCGCTGTGCGCCTGGCACCGTGCTGGGTGCTGGGTGCCATGGTGAGCAGAACCCAGTCCGGCTTCCAGGGCTCACTGGCAGGAGGGGCGGACAGGAACGCCGGCTCCCGTGCCCTGGGAGCCGGATGATGAGGACGGACACCAGGGAGGCCAGCTGGGGCCCAGCCCGGCGCTGGGTGCCGAGCGGAGACCCCCACGAGCAGAAACAAGCCTGGTTGCTGCCCTCTTAGAACTGGCCGGGGGTCAGGTCTGAGAATGGGTGAGGTCCCTGGGCTGTCCCCCTGAGGACATGGTCCCCCTGACCCCCCACGCCAGCCCCGGGCCTCAGGTTTGTCAGGACACAGCCTCTAACGGGCATGTCCTCTCTGTCCCCGGGTCCCAAGTGCTGGGCCAGGCTGGTCAACATCGCCTCTTTTTCTTTCTTTTTAAAAAAATATATCTTATTGATTTTTTACACAGAGGAAGGGAGAGGAATAGAGAGCTAGAAACATCGATGCGAGAGAAACATCAACCAGCTGCCTCTTGCACTACTCCTACTGGGGATGTGCCCGCAACCAAGGTACATGCCCTTGACCGGAATCGAACCTAGGACCTTTCAGTCCGCAGGCCGACGCTCTATCCACTGAGCCAAACCGGTTTCGGCAGCATCACCACTTTTCAAAGGGAAGCAGCTGGGTTCCCAACCAGGGCCGGGCCGCAGGTGACCGTAAACTGTGCTGCAGAGATGAAATCTCCCCGAGGCTCTGCTGGTCCTGGGCCCTCAGGGCCACACACCCCCCTCGGCCCCTACCACCCACTCGCTCAGAGTCCCTCCCCTGCACCTAGCTGAGTCTGCCTGTTGTCATGTCAGCACCCATTGCCTCTACAGAGAGCTCCCTGACCACCACCCCACAGGGACCTCCTTAACTCTTCTTCCTAACGTGTCCCTGGGGTCCTGTATTTAGTATTTGTCACTCCCCCCCTCCCGATGCCACCCGAGTGCCCACTGCTGCCCCCCGGTGCTCGGTGCCTGTGGCGGGGCCAGCGGGGCATCTCCAACCGCCTCCTCAGAGGATGGGGCCGTTGGCCCCCGTGTGTCTGCCTTTCCCAAACCTGGGAGGGGAGGAGGCCGGCGTGAACCGGCTGGACGCGGCTCTGCCCATCTGAGACCAGGATAGTGAATGTCCGTCTGTTTCCCCCGACAGGTCTGTGCACGACTACCTGAGGGGAGGGCCCTTCCGTGAGTACCTGGACAGCATGTACTTTGACCGCTTTCTCCAGTGGAAGTGGCTGGAGAGGTGAGTACCGCCCTGGCAGTCCACACGCAGGCGTGTGCCAGCGTGTGTGTGTGTGTGTGTGTGTGTGTGTGTGTGTGTGTGTATGGGGGGGCAGGTTTTCACCTGGGAAGTCATGTAAGAATCAGTCCCCTCCGTGGGCCGACGGTTCCCACAACGTGAACGGTCTCTCTCCCGTGAACTCCGCTCCCGTGGGTGCGTCTGGAAGCCCACTGCCCGTGCTTGCGAATGTGGCTTACCCTCCGCTCACCCCCTCAGGCTGTGTGACCCAGGGCCATTGCATCAACGTCTCTGAGCTTTTACTTGTCTGCACCGAGCACAGGAAATGGAGAAACGGGCTTTTTAGATCAGAGAAGTTAAGCCCTTTGCACTAAGTCGCTGAAGCCAGTACATCAGGACACTGGCCTAGAAACGTCCTAAATGATTGACAACCCTCTTCCTTCCTCCTGTCCCCCCACCCTGCCTCTGCCAAGACCGTGGCCCCTTCACGCGATACTGTTGAAATAGTAAAGGGATCTTTTCCCCAAGGTTAACCAAGAAATTCCTCAGAAATTGTATTCCAATGAGTTCCCCAGCACAGGGGCGCTGCGGTCACGTCACCCCACTGTCCGTTCTCCGTGCATCGTAAACTGTCGGGCCTGGGCGCCTTCATGTGGTTTCGAGGGCGGCTGTCGGACACGCTCCTGGGTGATAGCGGACAAGGTGCCTGGCAGGGAGCTCCAGCCCTGGCGCTCCTGCAGAGGAGAGAGACGGAGCAGTGGGTCCCGCAGAGGAGAGAGACCGAGCATGGGGCCCTGCAGAGGAGAGAGAGCATTAGGGCCCTGCTGTGCTGCCCGCGGACATGCCAGGGAGAGGGAGGCACAGCAGTGAATGCCGGGAGCGCCCTGGGTCTGGGACATCCTGTGAGAACAGGGGCGGGTTTGTGGTAAAACCCAGGTCCGCTCCAGGACCCAGCAGCCAGAGTTTCCGCGGAGACTCATTCAGGAGCTGCCGGGCCCACTGTCCTCCAGCCGACCCAGGTCACTGGCCCAATTCAGTCTCGCGCCCACCTCGGCCCCGGTCAGCGCTCTCGGGGGGCGTGGGAGTTGCTCACAAAGAGTTCTGGCCTGGCTGGCATGGATCGGGGGCTGAGCATCGACCTATGAACCAGGAGCTCACGGTTCGATTCCCCGTCAGGTCAGGGCACATGCCCGGGTTGTAGGTTCGATCTCCAGTGTGGGGCAGGAGACAGCGGATCAATGATTCTCTGTCTCTCCTCACTGATGTTTCTCTCCCTCTCCTTTCCTCTCTGAAATCGATTTTTTAAAAGTTGTTGTTGTTGTCTTAGCAAACAAAAAATATCAGTTCTGGTTCCGAGAGCCAGTGTTAACCTTGTAAAGTGGATTGTTTGTTGCTCACCCACCAGGTGACGGACATTTAGATCGTTCCACATGTTGCCTAGTGTGAGCGATGCTGCAGTGCACACAGGAGGACAGGGTGGTGTGCACACCCCATGGAATATTACTCAGCCCTGAAAAGGGAGATCTTTTTTTAAAAATAATTTTTAATTGATTTTTTACAGAGAGGAAGGGAGAGAGATAGAGAGCTAGAAACATCGATGAGAGAGAAACATCGATCAGCTGCCTCCTGCACACACCCCACTGGGGATGTGCCCACAACCAAGGTACGTGCCCTTGACCGGAATCGAACCTGGGACCCTTCAGTCCGAAGGCAGACGCTCTATCCACTGAGCCAAACCGGCCTCGGCTGAAAAGGGAGATCTTGCCATTTTCTGACAACGTGGGTCCATTGGGAGGGCACTTGCTAAGTGAAATAAGCCAGACACCGAAAGACAACTCTCACACGACCTCACTGATACGTGGAACCTAAAACGGTCAAATGCATAGAGGCAGAGAGTAGAGTGCTGGCTGCCAGGGTGAGGAGGGAGGAGAAATGGGGAGATGTTGGCCAGAGGGGGCAAAGCTTCATTTTGCAGGATGAGGACGCTGTGGGGGGGTCTAATGGACAGCATGGTGACCCTAGTTAACAAATACTGCATTATGTGCTTGAAATTTGCTAAGAGGGTAGATCTTAAGTCTTCTCATTAGAAGGAGAGGGGAGGCGGGAGGGAGGGAAGAAGAGAGAAAGAGGGAACTATGGTAATAGCACATAATTAGCTTGATTGTAGTGATCATTCCACAGTGTACATATTAAAACATCAAGTTGTACACTCAATCATACTCAATAAAGCTGAAATAAAAAAGTTTTTTAAAAAAAAAAAAAAAAAAAGCAAGCTGATTGTTCACAGCAAACAGACCAGGGGTGAAAAAGCACAAGCTGCCCGCAACCCTGGGCTCTAGGCAACCAGAGGACCGTCCGTCCGGTCTTCACTCCCCGCCCTGCCCCCGGCCAGAGGTTGGCCTGGGCTAATTAAAGGGGGAGTCGGAGACACTATCAGGGGTCTTCAAACTATGGCCCACGGGCCACATGCGGCCCTCAGAGGAGTCTGATCCGGCCCGCCAGGTTTTTTGGGCAGTGAGCGCAGCCGAGGTGTTACAGTAGGAATTAGTAGTTCATATAGTCCGGCCCTCCAGCTCTCTGAGGGACCGTGATCTGGCCCCCACTTTAAAAAGTTTGAGGACGCCTGCACTAAGTGATGATGACTTCATAGATCCCGCTGGCAGACGGGACCTGCAGTGTTGGAGTCCTGGGGGGACAGCAAAGGGGCCTGGGAGGTGGAGAGGTTGGAAGGGCGCCGTCCTGCTGGGCAGCCCGAGCTCGGAGCCGGGCTGAGCTAGCCGCTGCTCTGGCTGAGATGCGCAGGGGCAGGAGGGCAGGTCTCCGTCATGCCCTCCGGGGGACACTGAGCCTCTGTGACTCCAGCCCTCCCCTCTCCCTGCCCTGGGCTCACGGCCTCCTTCGGAGTGGAGCCACTGGGAGAGGGGAAGCCACAGGGAGAGGCCCTTGAAGCTGCTTTGGCTCACGTTTCGCGCCTTCTGCCTTCCCGCTTGTCTCCCAGGCTGCAGGGCAGAGGGCAGGTGGCCTGGAATTTGAACACCCAGCCCCAGAGCAAGCCCGGGAGGGGCCCCTCTGCAGCCGTCATTCCTGGGGGTCCCCGGGCACGGAACTGTGCCTTGCACCGCCTAAGCCAAATGCTGCCGCTGTCTGTTGCATATGGGTTATGCATCTCACCACCATGATTCTTGCTTTTTTCCAGGCAACCGGTAACCAAAAACACCTTCAGGCAGTACCGCGTGCTGGGGAAGGGCGGCTTCGGGGAGGTGAGTGAGCGCCCTGTTTCCGGTGACAGTTCCTGTGCTCCAGCCCCCTCTCCTGGCCCTTCTGTCTGCCTGAGGTGCCCCCACCTTTGCTCGGTCCACGCCGTTTGGGAGGGTCAGGTGTGTCTGCAGTGTCTGGGGCTGGGGGTGAGGCAGCCTCAGGTTCAAGTCCGGGGAGGAGAAACAGGTGCCCTTGGCTGTGTTTGGCGGGAGAAGGGAGGACACAGGGGGCCAGATGGCACTGCTGTATGGGCTGCTGTACTCTGTCTGAGCTTCCCAAGGCGGGGGCAGCCTGTGGCTCACTTAGGGGCGGGAAAGCTGAGGTTCTGAATGGTGAGGTGGCCCAGCCACAGGCACCCAGCCAGCAAGGGGCAGAACGGAGACAAGAACCCAAATGCCCTGTTTCCCGATCCTCTGAACCATATACTCAGGGTTCTCGGGGGGGATCTCCCGTCCCTGGTCCCCAACGAGCATCTTCCGCCTGCAGCCGCTACTTGAAAGTGCCCCGCGGGCCATGGCTGCCTCTGGTTGGAAGCTGAGGACAGAGATTTAGTTGCCTCTGAGAGAGGGACGGGACCTCAGGCCCTGGCGGCCAGCTCCGCATTGCTGACGATGGCTCACTCTGCACCTCCCAGGCGGGGCTCCCTCCAGGAGGGCTAGATGAGGCTGGAGCCAGATCTCGAGGGTGTGGTCCCGGGCAGCCGTGGGTTCAAGGCCAGGCACAGCCGGCTCTGGCTCCATCTGTTCCCGACCCCTCAGCCCAGCGTCCTGGCCACGGAGGCACTCGGGCAGCCCCCATGTCCCTGACCCCGGCTCCTCCTCGCACCCAGGTCTGTGCCTGCCAGGTGCGGGCCACAGGGAAGATGTATGCCTGCAAGCGCTTGGAGAAGAAGAGGATCAAGAAGAGGAAAGGGGAGTCCATGGCCCTCAACGAGAAGCAGATCCTGGAGAAGGTCAATAGCCCGTTCGTGGTGAGTGTCTGGGGCCAGGGACCAGGGCTTCTGTTCCTTGGGAAGTGGGTGGCCCTGCAGTGTGGCAGCTCCCCATCGCCAGGGAGACGGGAAGCAGTGGGAGGACCGCCTGCCGAGAGGCAGCCAGGCCCCGCCTGCTTCCCCACGCGCCTCTGGGTCCTGGTGGCAGGTCACAGAGCAGGCCTGGCCGCCCTGTGTGTGGGCCCGAGGCCTCTGACCTGCAGGACCACCTGGGACACTGCTCAGTGGCCTGAAGAAGCCCCCCAGGGCCCAGCCGGGAGCTTTATGTCCACAGGCCCCCATAGACCGGTGTCCTCGGTGTCGGTACCCTGAGAGGCGCCATGGTGTGCGCATCTGCTGTGTTCCTCAGTCTAGGCTTCGCTCTGCTGCTGTAACAAATATACCCTGCCTCACCGCAGCTGGAAACAACCCAGACCGTTCTTTTTTTATTTTTTGAATCTTTGTATTGACTTCAGGGAGGCAAGGAGGGGAAAAGACAGAAACATCCACGATGAGAGAGAATCATGGACCGGCTGCCTCCTGCACTCCCTCCTCTGGGGATGGAGCCCCAAATCCAGGCCTGTGCCCTGACCGGAAATTAAACCGCGACCTCCTGGTTCATAGGTCAACCAGGTCACTCAACCACTGAGCCACACTGGCTGGGCCAACCAAGATCGTTCTGTCACTCACATAGAGTCCAGTCAGATCGCCCCCCCCCCTCCCCGCAGCTGCCCCGTCCGGAGTCACGGAGGTGTGCGCAGGGGCCTGCGGGGGCCGTCACAGCCTCGGCTGCCGTGGCGCTCCTCACTCCCGCCCACAGCCCGTGGGCCAGCGCCGGTCCCAGCGGGCACAGGCCAGCTGCAGGAGGGGGGGGGGGGACTTGGAGGAGCACAGGACATACGGTCTGCTCTAGACGTCCGCCACATGTCACCATAACAAACAATATGTGCGCCAGGTGGAAACGCCAGCAGCACAGGCGGAGACAGAAGGAAACCAGAAGGCTCCCTCTGCGGAACCATCCCCACATGCTGGACTCATTACGTTTAGCCAATGGGCTCGCTCTAGACTTCTCATGCTTCCGTCTTCTCTGCCCCTGACAATGTATAATAGATCTTAAAACAAACAAACCCAGCCCTGACCGGTTTGGCTCAGTGCATAGAGCATCTGCCTGCAGACTCAAGGGTCCCGGGTTCGATTCCGGTCAAGGGCATGTACCTTGGTTGCGGTAGGGGGCGTGCAAGAGGCAGCTGGTCACTGTTTCTCATCGATGTTTCTAGCTCTCTAGCCCTCTCCTCTCCCTTCCTCTCTGTAAAATATCAATACAATAAAAAATAAAAAACCCAGACATAGCTGCACCTTTAACAAAAAACAAAAACTATGCCCCCTTCCCTTGAGACATGGGAGAGAGGGACCCTGGCCTGTGGGGGCCCCCCCAGGGGGGAGAGTGATCCTGGGGGTGACGCTGCTGTGGGCGAGGCTGCGCCCCTGAGCGCTGGCGTGGCTGTGGACGTGTCCGTGGCCGCATCCCCTGGCCGAGGCCTGGCTGTGTCAGAGGGTGTGCGCTTTCCCTGTGCTCGCCGTTCCCAAGGGGCTCTCCACGCGGGTCGCCCAATTAAACGCCCACAGCTGTGCCTGGAGGCCGGCGAGGTGTCAGCGAGGGCCTCCGTCACTCCCTCCACTCCCTCGAGGGGGTGGTTTTATGAGGTGACAGAGGTGTGGTCTCTGGGTCTGACCCGGCCTGTCCCCTCCCGCCCCCCCAGCCCCGCCCAGGGGAACGTGCCGTGTGGGAGGTGGCGGTCAGCGTTTTGGCCGTGAGCCTGTGTCACAGCCCTTTCCACAGTGACCCCAGGTCACCGCCTCCAGGCTGCCCATGCAGTGAGTCCTCAGGGGCAGGGCTGGCTCTCGGGGTCGGTGATGGGGAGTCCCACTCAGGGGAAGGGTTGGGCCTGGACCTTCCTCGACGGTGCCCCGTCCTCTGCCCCTGGCAGGACGGTCCCGAGCGCCTCCCGGAGCCCTTCCTCGGGGTCACCTGGTCAGAGCTCTCGCCTTTGGCGCAATCCTCACCTTTCCTCAGCGACGGCCCTGTTGTTCCTGTGTTTGCACCACGTTTTGTGGCGGCCAGATTCCACGTGTGCCAGCCCCTCAGTGGAGAAGTGTCCTTTGCCCCAGACCCAGTCCTCCCCCTCTTCCTCCCTCCCCCAAGCCCGTATCCACAGAGTCTGCACAGGGCTGGCTCCTCTCTATGATGGTCCCTCTGCCAGGCGGGTCCTGCGTGCAGGAGGAGACCGTCTTTGCCAAGTTGTGTTCTGCTTCTCGAAGCCCCTAGCCCAGTGGTCGGCAAACTCATTAGTCCACAGAGCCAAATATCAACAGGACAAGGATTGACATTTCTTTTGAAAGCCAATTTTTTTTTAAACTTAAACGTCTTCTAATACCGCTTCTTCAAAATAGACTCGCCCAGGCCGTGGTATTTTGTGGAAGAGCCACACTCAAGGGGCCAAAGAGCCCCATGTAGCTTTGCGAGCCACAGTTTGCTGACCACTGCCCTAGGCTACCACCCAGCCCACTGCCCGGTCCCTGCGCTACTGGTGCCGGGAGGGAATCTTGGCCCTGCTCTTCTTGACCAGCCACAGGGACCACAGTTTGACGGATGCCCGCACAGCTTGTGGTGTGAACGCAGGAACGCCATCCTGGCAGGCCCCCCCCCTCGCCTCCTCACCGGGAACCCAGCTGGGAAGGAGGGGGTCCTTCACCCGCTGAGAGGGCCAGCGGGCAGGGCACTCCGAGGCTGCCAGGGTTCGGGGGTGGCGTGAAGGCACTGCCCTCCCCTAGCCCAGCCGTCCCGCAGCCGCTCGGGCCCCGAGGAGGGAGGGCGGGCGTGGGGCGGTGGCAGGACCTCACCGCGCCGCTGCCCTGTGTTCCCAGGTCAACCTGGCCTACGCCTACGAGACCAAGGACGCCCTGTGCTTGGTGCTGACCATCATGAACGGGGGCGACCTGAAGTTCCACATCTACAACATGGGCAACCCCGGCTTCGAGGAGGAGCGCGCCCTGTTCTACGCGGCAGAGATCCTGTGCGGCCTGGAGGACCTGCACCTGGAGAACACCGTCTACAGGTGGGCGGCCCGCCCGCCGGGCTGCACCTGCGTCTGGGAGGGTGGGGACCACCGCCCGGGGGCCGAGGCCTGGCCATTGTCCTTGCCGGTGAGGGCGCAGACTCCCACTGACACTGAGGAAGTGAAGTGGGCTGCTTAGGGGGCAGGTGTTCTGGGCCCCGGTCTCCTCCAGTCCGGTGCCCGGGGAAGCTTGGTGAGGCCTGGTGGCCGTAACCTGGACCATCAGCCCAGGGCCTCCGTCAAGACCAGCCCCGGAAGGACCCGGGGAGTCACCACCATAAGCAGGCCTGCGTCCATCCATACTGCCCGGTGTGGCAGGCCCAGGGTCCAGGTTCTGTGGGCAGCACCAGGGTGAGGCTCAGGGCCAACATGGTGGCTGGTGTTGGCTGGACCACGCCTCCCACACTGCCCGTCACCGGGGGCGGGACTTGTCTCACGGCCTCCACGAGCATCTTCACAACCCGAAGATGGACTCTGAAACAGGCCACCGTCTGTTTCCCTGGTGGCTGGTCTCCATGTGTTGGTATGGAAGTTACTTCCATTTTTCAAAGGGGTCCAGGGGAATCCAACTGCGGCAGCATGTTGATTTCCATCATCGTCTGTCTAAACACGCATAAAGCTCTTCAGTGGTGAGGAACTTCCTGTCATTTCTATTCCCCATCCCCCTCCCATAATGTTACCATAATGTAATATATTTTTGGCCTAAAAGTCTTTTATTGAAATGTGTGGGTACATGGAAGATTTTTTTTTTTAATTTCCTATATCAGGAGGCTCTAATCAGGGGTCTTCAAACTACGGCCCTCGGGCCACATGCGGCCCGCAGAGAAGTCTGATCCGGCCCACCAGGTTTTTTGGGCAGTGAGCGCAGCCGAGGTGTTACAGTAGGAATTAGTAGTTCATATAGTCCGGCCCTCCAGCTCTCTGAGGGACCGTGATCTGGCCCCCACTTTAAAAAGTTTGAGGACCCCTGCAAGTGGTCAAATAACTTCTTCTGTTGAGCTGCCGTTATGATTATTACGACTAGGTCTCACTTCTGATGGGGCCCCCGGGACCCCGCTTTTCTCCTGTCGTTGGGAAAAGAGCTGTTGAGAAAGGGCAGGCGGGGGGAGGGAGGGTCCCCAGAGGAGGCAGGGGCACCTGGTGTCAGGGATCCAGAAATGCGCATTCCTGGAACTGCCAGCAGGTGAGTGGGCTCCCACCGGGGTCTCCTGAGCAGTCCCCTGCGGCTCTCAGACCTGGCGTGGAGCTCTGGGCGGAGATTACCTGGGGAGACCAAGAAGGCTTTGGAAACCAGGAGGGGGGTCTTGGTAGCATGCGGTCTCCCCAGTTACGCTTGTGTGTGGTTCTCACTCCATAGAAGGAGTCGGGACAGTTTTCCTAAGGGTTGAAAAATGAACCCTCCACTGGAGTGCCCTTCGTTTACCAAAAGGGCCTCTCCCTGGCGGCTGTGGGCTCGGCCCCGCCCACTGGCCTTTGGGGTCTGGAAGCCCCGCTCTTGCCCTTACTTGGGATTGTTAACACATCAAAAGAATGCAAATTCAACGACAACAGCAACAAAATGTACTTTGTTGTGAATAATTCCCTGCTGACACCAGTCATCACTGTGAGAGGCCGGCAGGATGGGCAGTCACCACGCCCGCCCGCGGGGACAGCTGCCGGCTGTTCCATAAACAAAGCCAGTTGGTGGAGAACCAACCCCCAGTCCAGACGCTGCGGGACGGTTTGCCCAGCGGCTCACCTGAGAGGCACCTGCCATCCCGCCGCTGTGGGTTCACCCTGGGGAGACCTTTCCCTGGCGAACCGGACACTTCTGCTGCCTCTGCCCCTCCTGCGAACAGGGGTTCCCTTTCCTGGGAGCGTGATGATGTCATCAAAGGGGAGGCGATCGCTGGGGACAGGAGGAGGTGGCCGGGCCTACAGCCGCGCCTTCTGCTGTGCTTGCTTCCCCCTGGAGTTGGGGAGGTGCCAGGCTCCTGGGGGCCAATACCCAGGGGGTCTTTCTCCAGGGACACCATCCTCTTCCCTGCAGTTCTCCGTGCCAGTTCTGCAGCTGGCACTTTATCCCCAGGCCCTGCTCTGCCTTCAGGGCTTGCTGAGACCTGGCCGGGAGGGGGGGGGGGGTCTTCCCAGCCCTGGAGGGGTCTGGTGCCACTCCAGCCAGCGTGTGGAGGAGCAGGACCAGCCTCTGCCTCACCTCCTTCCTATCACTCTCCAGCGAGGGGCAGATGCCTGTGGCAAAGGGCGGGAGGAGAGAGATCAGCCCAAGATTCTCTTGACCCAGAGACCAGACCCCCTGAGGTGGGAAGGAAGCACTCGGGCCTGGCTGGCCCACCGGGTCAGCCCAGACGCCAGTGCGCTCCGCCGCCCCGGTGCCCACACTCACACACTGTGGTCTTTCCCTTTCAGAGACCTGAAGCCCGAGAATATCCTGCTGGATGATTACGGTGAGTCCGGGAGGGGCTGGGAGGTCCTTTTCCCGCCCTGTCGCTGAGGCGAGCATCGCAACCCAACGCAGAGGGCCTCTCGGACACTCACGGCCCTGGGCCCGCCGGGGAGCAGTGGGCAAGGGGGAGGGGAGAGCCACTTCTCTCCTCAGTGCTGGGGACCCAGAGAAGACAGTGGGCATGGACAGAGCTCCGAGAGAGAGAGAGAGAGAGAGAGAGAGAGAGAGAGAGAGAGAGAGAGAGAGAGAGGAATGAGATGAGGTGTCCAGGATTTCAGAGATGCCAGGCAAATACTGACCTCACACAGTTTCTCTGCACTTCATCTTCCTTGTTTTTCACTGGAAGCATGGGCCCTGCCAGCTTAGAGGCCTGATGACGGAGGTGAGGGTCTGACAGGATAGCCGAGGGGACATTCTTCGGTCAGCCACAGCCTGAGAAACGTGTTGGTCATTAGTGTCTGTGTGTCGCCACCGTCAACGTTTCACATGGACGGCAAGGGCGGCCGCGGTAACCCATCCTTGTTAGCCTCTCACACTAACTGGTGGGAAACCGTCTCCGCATTTTTAATCTGGAAACTAGATTTGCCCATCTCCACAGAGTGGGCAGGGCCAGCATCCCTGTGCCCATTTCACAGATGACAAGATTGAGGCTCAGAGGAGCCACGCTGCCAAAGGTCACCCAGCGATATCAGTAGGGAGCCGAGCTCAGAGGCCAGGTCTCCTCAGTGTGTGGATGGCCTGGCGATGCTGCCAGGGGGGGCGGCAGCCAGAGGGTCCCGGGCCCCGTTCCCCTGCACGGATGAGCCTCCTGGTCTCAGTGCCACGCCCACCTTTGACTTAAACCCACGTGCCCCCTTTCCCTCTCCTGCCTTTGTCCGGGGCCACTGAGCGGGGGCCTCACTCGGCTCCGACCTGTCGGGGTCCCTGTCACAGGGCCTTGCTCAGGCCCAGGCTGTGGGGGTCCTGCCCTCAGGGACAGCGGGGAGGGGAGGGGTCCTTCCTGAAGGGCCGGGTGTGGCTGTGGCATCCCCTTTGTGCCTGGTGGGCCACCAGGTGAGACACCCCAGAGGCTGGCCCCCGCACAGCCGTCTCTGCTCTTGGGGTTCAGCCGGGGACCGGGAGCTCCAGGCCACCTCCTCGTCTCCGGGGCCCTGGGCGTCTTCCAGTCTTGTCTTTCCAGAGGGAGAAAACAGCCCCCAAAGACCATCTTGGCAGAACGGGAAGTTGCTTCCCTTTTAATTGCCTTATAATTTTTCCCCTTAAGCAAACTGTTGCAAAACGTCAGGAGAATCTCGCATTTCTTCCGTGAGGCAATCCCAGCCTCGGGCCAAGGCGTTTTACACGCTGCCCTCAGCAGTCAGAGCGTCGCATGCGGCAGGTGGCCCGCGTCCAGCCAAGTGCGAGGGCCCCGAGTCCGTGTGCTTCCCTCCTAGGGGGGCGGCTCGCACGCCCTCCAGCACCTGAGTCTCCCCAGGGTCTGCCGTCACCCCGAGATGGCAGATCGGGGGCCCCCTCTGCACGGGGCAGATGAAAACACAGTCCCCGTGCCCTGCCCGGGGGCACGCCGCCTGCCTGAGGCCGCTGACCCTGCCCTTCCCCCTCAGGCCACATCAGGATCTCCGACCTGGGCCTGGCCGTGAAGATCCCCGAGGGAGACCTGATCCGAGGCCGGGTGGGCACCGTCGGCTACATGGGTGAGTGTGGGCGCAGACCCTGAACCCCGAGCCCCCTCGTGGATCCCTGGCCTCATTGTGCCACTCTGATCAGAGGCGGGGTCTCTTCTGATGGTGGGAGGTGGGCGGTCTTAGCCGGGGCGGGTGGAGCCCCAAGGTGTGACGTGACTGGACCCAGCTCTCTGCACCCCCACCTGAGCCCACCTGCGCCTGAAGCCAGTCAGTCCACTTCGGGGCCAGTGGCCAGGCTGGCACTCAGCCATGCTCAGGAGGAGCCCCCGCTGACGTGGGGGTCCAGCCGCTGGTGGACAGCCTTTCGGGAGACCGGTGACAGGAGGGAGGCCGTCAGGAGGGGCTGGGCACAGCGCACTCCGCCTGCCGGGTGCCAAGCATGACTAAGCAGACAGCAGCCGGGGCCCTGCCCTGCCCCCCGGAGCCGACTCCCGACCATCCCCCTGGGGCTGCAGGGAAGAGGCCCAGAGCTACATCCGGGGCCTGGAACCTGCTTCCCGTCAGGGAGGAGGATGCCGGGCCCGGCTGGCATGAGCCACAGCCCACGCCGGGCGCCCGGGCTCCGTGCTGCCCCCGGCGGCCTCTCACCTCGCTGCTCGCTCCCTCCTCGCCAGCTCCCGAGGTCCTGAACAACCAGAGGTACGGCCTGAGCCCCGACTACTGGGGCCTGGGCTGCCTCATCTACGAGATGATCGAGGGCCAGTCGCCGTTCCGGGGCCGCAAGGAGAAGGTGAAGCGGGAGGAGGTGGACCGCCGGGTCCTGGAGACGGAGGAGGTGTACTCCCCCAAGTTCTCCGAGGAGGCCAAGTCCATCTGCAAGATGGTGAGCTCCGAGGCCCGCTGGCCTCTCCCCCTCTCCCACCCTGCCCGCCCCGGGCCGGGCCGCCTCCTGTCCGGCCCCGGTCAGAGCCCCGGGAGGAAAGAGGGACTGGACCTGCCTCCTGCCATTTGCATGTGAGACACCAAGGGAGGGGCAGCATGCACACATGCAAACACACGCCGGAACCACCTGTGGCAGGGCCCCTGCCCGCCTGCCCGGGCCTCCAAGGAAGCAGGAGGTCATGGCCCTGCAGGAGGGTGTGGGGGCCGGAGGAGCGAGGCAGAACAAGGGAGTCAACGGGGACGTGGCTCCTAGGGGTGCTTGAGAACCCGGTGGGTGTGCTGACAAGACTCGGTTCTGTCGGGCGAGGCCTGTAGGCAGTGGCACTGCACTGGGTGAGGGATAGAGGGGAGGGCAGCAGCATGTGTCCCGGATCGGGGTCAGGGCTCAGAGAAGCGCCCTGCCCGTGTCATGGGCTTGGGCACATGGCTTTGGGGCACCTGGACTAGGCGCTGCTGTTTCTCTGCTGCCCCCTGGTGTGCACTGAGGGAACGGCAGCGGCCCCCCGGGGGATCCAGGTGTCACACCGATGTCCCTCATCTTCGTTACCTGGGAGCATGACCAGAGGCCTTGCTCCGTCTTCTGACAAATGACCCTGCGCTGCTTCTGTGTGGTGAACTGCGCGCTCTCTGGTCTGGCAGCCAGGCCGGCCCTGGCCCCTCCAGGCGCCAGCTCAGGGCACAGGAGGGCCTGACTGTAAGGAGACCACAGAGGCCCCGGCAACGCCAGGAAGCTGGTCCCTGACCCAGATTCTGTCCCTCCTCCGGTCTCGGCTGCCACAAGACCTTTCCCTGCTCCTGGGGTGCAGACATTCAGTCATCTCCCTGTCCTCCACTCCCCACCCCAAGCCCCATCTCTAGGTCAATCCTCAGCCCACCTTCCTCAGGCCCCTGCTGGTCCTTAGTCCCAGCACTGCTCCTCCCCACCCCTATGGCCCCTCGGCCTCCCTCACCCCCAAGCAAGCAGCCAGCTTTCGTTCTCTAACCCCATCCGTGGTGCCTGGATGGGTCCTCTAAATGTGATCTTGCTGAGGCCAAACCCTCAGGGCCCTCTCTCCCTTCATCCCTCCCTCTCCCCCTTCCTCCCTCCCTCTCTGTCCTCCTTCCCTCCTTCTCTCCCTCACTCACCCCCATGGGTGAGTTGAGAAAATGAATCAGAGACCTTCAGACCGAGTTCTTGCCCTTGGTAAGCTCGCCGTGGCAGAAGGTCACACCGATTCAGCAAGCAGGGGTGCCCCGCGTTCACCAGGTGCTGGGCATGTGGTCACGGGGAGACACGGACGGGAGCCTTGCTCCCCTCCCCGGGCTCCAGGCCGTGAACGCAGGACCACAGAGCTCACCGCGGCTCCGGAGCCCTGAAGCCGGGCCTGAGCAGGCCGGGCGGTGTCTGCGGGCACCCGGGCGGCACCGGCCGGAGGAGGGACACGGGGAGTCCCAGGGCCGCCCCTGTGAGAGGGAGGTGCCCCGGGCACGGCCTCACGGGCTCTGTCCTCACAGCTGCTCACCAAAGACGCGAAGCAGCGGCTGGGCTGCCGGGAGGAGGGGGCGGCCGAGGTCAAGAGGCACCCCTTCTTCAGGAACATGAACTTCAAGCGCCTCGAAGCCGGCATGTTGGACCCGCCCTTCGTTCCCGATGTGAGTAGCTCCCCCGCCCGACGGGGCCTGTGCCTGCTCTCAGCCTTGGCCTCGCCCACTGTCGCTCCTGGGCCTGGTCCATGGGCCCAGGAGACCTGTGGGCGGGCGGCAGCCTCTGCCCTCCAGGGACAGATGTGTCACCGGGGCTGGGGGTCCTGCTTCTGTCCTGGAGTCGCCTCCTCCAGGAAGTCCTCACCCTCAGACCTACAGGCCGCAGAGCCCCTGGGGGCCTCCCCCATGCCCTCCCCCCCAACTCTGAGTTCCTGGAGGGGAAGGCCTGCCGGGGGCGTCTCCGTGGTCTCGGCAGAGGGCAGCCCAGTGCGTGTCTGGGGGAGTGAGGTGGAGATATTCCCGCCCGCCCATGCGGCCCAGGCTCCCGGGCAGCGCTTACAGCCCAGGCCCGGGGCTCCCCTGGCGCGGCCTGCAGTGGGGAGACTGGCCTGTGGGACGTGGGACGTTCCCAGAATTCCTGAGCAGCAGCGCCGGGACCCAGCCCGGCCCGTCTGGCTGCAGAGCCGGGCCCCTTGGTGCCTGTAACGTGAGGAGGGGATGGGGAGGCGCCCCTCACCCCGGACTGGACTGCGTGTCCCCGGCCCTGGGAGCCAGCGCCCGCTCTCCCCGGGGGGTGGCCCAGAGCCCCCAGCAGAGCGGGCGCTGGGAACAGTTTCCCGTCCCAGCCCCGGGGGCCTCCGGGGAACAAAGACCATCTGATGGAGGGGTGAGCTCAGGGACGGGGTGACTGGCCCTGGGCGCCCCGAGCTCCTGTGTCCCCCGCCAGGGTCCCGTTGGCAGACCTGAGAGAGGGCAGCCAGGTTCCGGGGGCGGGCGGGGAGGCTCAGGCAGGGACGGTGGCCGGGGGCACGCCCGTGTGACGCCCGCTCCCCCCAGCCCCGGGCCGTGTACTGTAAGGACGTGCTGGACATCGAGCAGTTCTCCACCGTGAAGGGCGTCAACCTGGACCACACGGACGACGACTTCTACTCCAAGTTCTCCACGGGCTCCGTGCCCATCCCCTGGCAGAGCGAGGTCAGCGCCGGGCGGCCGCCCCGCCGGGGGCGGTCCGGGGGGTGCAGGGACGGGGGGCGGGTCCCAGCTCTGCTGGGCGTCGTGCGGGTCAGAGGGCGGGGGCGGGTCCCATGGTGTGCTGGGCGTCGTGGGGGGTCGGAGGGACGAGGAGGCCTGGGAAGGGAGGAAAATGGAACTGCGTTGGAGACAGAGTTGGATGGAATGAGACGGAAATGATGGGGCGGGGGAGGGGCCGAGCCCTGGAGTGGGGAGGGTTGGAGCATGGGGGTGGCCTGGGCTGGGTGGGGCGAGCAGGAGGTGGCTGTGGGTCTGGGGTGCCGACTTCGGCTTTCTCAGGGGAGAGGCAGCGGGTGGGAGGGCTGGCGCTGTCTGGTCTCGGCCCCGGTGGACGGAGGGCGGCAGACAACCTAGTGGGGCCCGGCTGGGGGTGGGCCAGGGCTCGGCGCTGGGACTGTCCACCCTGGTGACACCGCAGCCTCACCGCCCGCTGCCTGTGTGTTCCTCCAGATGATAGAAACGGAGTGCTTCAAGGAGCTGAACGTGTTTGGACCTAACGGTACCCTCCCGCCAGACCTGGACCGGAGCCACCCTCCGGAGCCACCGAAGAAAGGGCTGTTCCAGAGGATCTTCAAGCGTCAGGTGAGCCCCCATCCCATCCCCTCCCCCACCCCCATCCCCACCCCCGGGTCCTGGCCTCGGCCCGGGGACCATGGCTCAGAACGTCCTCAGGGTTGAGACCAGCATGCAGAGCCCACCTGGGTGTGGGGCCCGGGGACTGGGGGGCAGGCAGCTGTCTGCGGCCCTGAAACCCACTGGCTGAGGGGCCCAGGTGGAAGGGGCAGGGCCGAGTTGACCTTTAGCAAGGTTTTTCCACCTCAGCATACTGACCTTTTGGGTTAATTTTGTTGTTGTTGACGGGAAGGAAGAGAGGAGAGAGAGAGAGAGAGAGAGAGAGAGAGAGAGAGAGAGAGAGAGAGAGAGACATTGATGAGAGAGAACCATTGATCGGCTGCCTCCTGCATGCTCCCTGCTGGGAATCCAGCCCACAACCCAAGCATGTGTCCTGACCAGGAATCGAACCGGGACCTCTTGGTTCCTAGGTCAGAGGCTGCCTTGCTCGCTCTGCCCCGCCCGCTAGCCCCGTCTTCAGGTTCAGAGGCCCCCACGGGACTGACCTGCTTCCTCTCTCCCTCCCCCCCCCCCCCCCCCCCCCCCCCCCCCCCCCCCCCCCGCCCGCGCTCCCAGCACCAGAACAATTCCAAGAGTTCGCCCAATTCCAAGACCAACTTCAACCACCACATACACTCCAACCACGTCAGCTCCAACTCCACCGGAAGCAGCTAGGTGCCGCTTGGCCCGGAGGTCCACGTGGGGCGGGCTAGGCCCTGTCCTCAGGAGCAGAACTCGTGGCCGGCGGAGCGTCCACGCCGGAGGGTGGACGGGCGGCCGGCCCGGAGCCGGCGAAGGAAGGAGGCGCCCCCGGGCACGGAGCCCCGGGTCCCCAGCTTCCACTCAGGTCTGAGCAGACGCGGCCCGCCCGGGCGGACGGCTCCGTCTCTGTCGCCTGTGGCAGTAGCACTCCGGCCGATAGGACGGCAGCGACGCGCGTGCGTTTTAACAGCATCCTGACTAGGACGGAACTTGGTCTTTATTATTTTTAAAGAAACGTTTTGTAAATTTCTCTATCGCCTCAGTTTACATTTTGTATATTTGTATTTAAATGAAAGTCAGACTTGGAGGGTGTATATTTTCTGTGCAGCCACTGGTAAGCCATGTGTTTTCAGACATTTTAGAGGGGGCGGGGGGGGGGGGGGTCCGGATTTACCAAAAAAAAAAAAAAAAAAAAAATGTGACTCAAGACTTCCACAGCCTCGAATGAGAGACCGTTTTTATTAAACGTAGAAAATGACTCACACGCACCTTGAAAGGGTTGGTGGCATCCTTTCTCTCATCTGTGCCAGCCATGGCCACCACCACCCTCTCTCTGCCCTGCGGCCATGGCCATCACCGTCCTCTCTCTGCCCTGCGCCCATGGCCATCACCGCCCTCTCTGTGCCCTGCGCCCATGGCCATCACCGTCCTCTCTCTGCCCTGCGGCCATGGCCATCACCACCCTCTCTCTGCCCTGCGCCCATGGCCATCACCGTCCTCTCTCTGCCCTGTGGCCATGGCCATCACCGCCCTCTCTGTGCCCTGCGGGCACGGCCACCACCACCCTCTCTGTGCCCTGCGCCCATGGCCACCACCACCCTCTCTGTGCCCTGCGGGCACGGCCATCACCACCCTCTCTCTGCCCTGTGGCCATGGCCATCACCACCCTCTCTCTGCCCTGCGCCCATGGCCATCACCGTCCTCTCTCTGCCCTGCGGCCATGGCCACCACCGTCCTCTCTCTGCCCTGCGGGCACGGCCATCACCGTCCTCTCTCTGCCCTGCGCCCATGGCCATCACCATCCTCTCTCTGCCCTGCGGCCATGGCCATCACCACCCTCTCTCTGCCCTGCGCCCATGGCCATCACCGTCCTCTCTCTGCCCTGCGGCCATGGCCATCATCCAAATGGCCATCACCCTCTGGTCACTTGGAAGAATGGAAATTAGATGCCCAGAGACGCACCTGGGACCCCCCCGCCAGGCCGCCCTGGTCCGGGCCGAGGAGGGGCGGGGGCCAGCTCCGGGGATGCACACTTCCCCCGGGGCTTTGGCCCCAGCCCCCCTCCTCCTGTGAGATGGCCGGGCCCCGCCAGCATCTTCTCTGGGCCCTTCTTTCTAAGAGGCTCTGACTGCCAGTGTGCCCTCGGGCAGCGGGTGTCCGGGGTTTGTTTTATTCTGTTTTAAGAGAAACGGAGTAATCATGGAGCCCCGTGTCCCAAACCTTCGTGGCCCCTGGGCTGCCCCTCAGCGGTGCCGGGCCAGTCCCCACCCCGTCCCCACAGCTCCTCCTCGCCGTTGGGAGGCCGGGAGGTTTCCTAATATGGACCTCACTTTCATGTATCGTTTTTGTTATTTTTTAAGATCTCTCACCAGTGTAATATAGGCTACTACAGGCCCCAGAGTCCTGCTCATGTCCCCACGCCCCCCCTGCCTGCCTCATCCACAGCCCTGCCAGCCCGTTTCATTTTTAAATGTGATTTATTGATTGTTTTAAAGAGAGAGGAAGGGAAGAGAGATGGTTGTTTAGAATATGTTTTTATCGATCTCAGAGAGAAGAAGGGAGAGGGAGGGAGAGAAGGAACGTCCATGACGGGAGAATCGTTGAGGGCCCGCCTCCTGCACGCCCTCTACTGGAGGTTGAGCTGAAAGCTGGGGATCAAACCGTGACCTCCTGGTTCATCGGTGGGTGCCCAACCACTGAGCCGCACTGGCCAGGATGATCACTGGTGTTTCCACCTCTCACCCTCTCCCGTCTTCTCTGAAATCGATAAAACGACATTTCTTACAAATTAAAAACATGCTTCCCTGGGCACCACGCCTTCTGCGTGGCCGTCTGTCTCCCTTGTCGTCCTGTTCGGGCCCCACGCCACGTGCTGAGGAAGAAAAGAAAAAAATCCATTTCCCCAGTCCAGCCTTTCCCCAGTCCTCGTGTTCCCCTTGTTTGTTTCCCTGTGGGCTTTACGGGCTGTCAGTAAAGTTCCATTGAAAACCCCGCCGGTGGCCCTCCCGCCAAGGGAAACACAGACACTGAGCGCTCTGCCCGCGCCTGGCGGGAGGAGGAAGCCGGCGAGGGTGAGGTGGGCTGGGGGCCAAGGGGGCGGGGGGGGGGGGGGGGACTCCGCCACCGACTTCCCAAACCCAGGTCTCTCCTCTGCGAGGCGCTCCCTCCGCGCAGCCAGCCTGGCCCTCGGGGGAAACTGAAGCGGCAGGTCTGCTCCTCGGGGCTCAGCGTGCGGGGAGGCGTGGGAGACCCACGGCTGGGACGGCCATGGCAAAGGCGGAGGCAGGAACGTGGCTGAGAGGTCAGTGACTGCGGTGGTCCCCAAGGTGGGGCATGCAGGAGGCAGGTGGTCAGTGATTCTCTTTTCTTTCCTTTTTAAATATATTTTATTGCTTCTTTTTACAGAGAGGAAGGGAGAGGGAGAGAGAGGTAGAAACATCGATCGGCTGCCTCCTGCACACCCCCTACTGGGGATGTGCCTGCAACCAAGGTGTTGATCCTGGGACCCTTCAGTCCGCAGGCTGACGCTCTATCCACTGGGCCACACCGGTGAGGGCAGTGATTCTGTTTTCATTGATGTTTCTCTCTCTCCCTCCCTCTCTGAAATCAATGAAAGAATAGATGTTTGAAAAATCACACAAAGCCGCCCTCACGCATGAGGCCCAGGTCAGTGTCCGGCTTCGGAGCTGCTCTGTGGCCACATTGATTGCAGCCGGGGGTTAGGGGGTGGGGAGGCCTGGGTGAAGGGTCCAGGGGCCGCACTCGCTGCCTGCCACTTGCTGTGACCCTGTAGTTATGTCAAAGGTAAACGTTTTCCTTGAACATGTGCAAATGGAAGACTAGAGGGAGGAGAGAGGAGCGGCAGGATGTGGGGAGGATTCGGACGGAGCTCCCGGGGGCAGGTGGGGCCCTGAGGCCGGAATGAGCCAGGCCCACAGAGGGACCCGGTTCGCACAGCCAGGAGGGAGAAACCAGTAACAAGGGGGCGGTTCAGTGGGCTTCGCACCGGTCCTCGGCGATCAGGGAGGCCCTCTGAGCCGCCGGCCCAGCTGCAAGGGCCTCCCTCCCCTCCTCGGACCCCGGACTCGCCGACGATCCCAGAGACAACAGAGGGTTTGAGGCTGGAAAGTGCCGGGCAGGGTTTGTTCGTGTTTTCGTAAACGACAGACACGTCCCCCTGTGAGGGGCGGGAAAGCCGTCCTTCTGTGGCCGGACGGGCAACTGGGCACCGGGGCCATGCCCGGCGCTGGGCGGGGTGTGTGCCTTCATATCTCTGCAACGTCGTTCCTGGAGATCTGAAAAGCTGGGGCAGGAGTGGCTTTTTTTTAAAAAAAAATGATCTCTTTATTCCTAAAGAAAAATCGATGTAAACTTTATCTCTGTCCTCCTGAATCCACTGAATCGTTGCTTCTCTGTTCTTCTTCCCCCCCATTCTCCCCATCCCCACCGCCCAGGCCTGAGCTCTGTCTCTGCTCATCTGTCCGACCGTCTTTCGGCCATGTTTTTCTCTCTCTGCGCATTGCTGGACAGAGAACGTGTTTCTGAATCTTTGTTTTTTTGTGAATCCTCACCCGAGGATATTCTTCCCATTGGTTTTTAGAGCGAGCGGAAGGGAGGCAGAAAGAGAGAAGAGCGTAGAGGAACACTGATGTGAGAGAGACACATCAGCTGGTGACTTCCCGCCCGTGCCCAGACTGGGGATCAAACCCGCGACCCCGGGGGAGATCTCAGTAGAATATTCGGCAGCTCCCCAGGTGTGTCCACTCAGGATGGTGGTTTCCAATGATGTGTTGGCGGCACCAGGGCAGGCGGCCGTTATCCGGGCAGCTGGTCCTGGTGTCAGCGGGGACTGGTGTTGTTGCGTCTCTGGGCTGGAGCTGGAGCTGACAGAGCTGAGGGAAGGTCAGGGGCTCCAAACCTCGTGACCTCCAACATGCTAGGGCAGTGGTCGGCAAACCCATTAGCCAACAGAGCCAAATATTAACAAGACGACGATTGAAATTTCTTCTGAGAGCCACATTTTTTTCAACTTAAACTTCTTCCAACGCCACTTCTTCAGCATAGACTCGCCCAGGCCGTGGTATTTTGTGGAAGAGCCACACTCAAAGGGCAGAAGAGCCCGACATGTGGCTTGAGAGCCGCAGTTTGCCGACCACGGTGCTCGGGGAGGAAAAGTCACCATCGGGGCAGGACCCTACTCTACAGCCGATTGTCCACTGTAGGCACCTGGGCCTTCCCTCCCCTGACCTTCTGGGCCTGGCCCGTCGTCCTTGCTCTGCTCGTGTCTCACTGCCCACAGCTGGTGGGCATCACACTCCCTGCGAGAGAGCCCCCCTCTGCCCGGGTCTGTGCTGGCCAAGCTCAGCCACGGGATCTGGGGTGGTCAGGGGGGGGGGGGGTGCTGGGATTGAGAGTCTCTGAGTACAAGGAAGTTCCATCAGTGGAGATGGAACTCTGTCCGAGAGAGAGAGAGAGAGAGAGAGAGAGAGAGAGAGAGAGAGAGGGAGGGAGGGAGGGAGAGAGAGAGAGAGGGAGAGAGAGCAAGAGAGAGCGCAGTGGCCATTTCAACAGTTGAGGCACTTCCTCAGGTCTCACGCCGGACCAGAGGCCCTGAGTGACGAGAGAGGCACGCGCTGATGGGCAGGCCTCGCGGTCTCACGTGGAGAGAACACCTCGTTGCACCTGGTTCTGGGTTCAACGATGCCCACCTGCCTCCCGGCTGGGCCTCCCGAGGCCGGCCGCTAGGGAGCGATCGGACCGTGGAAAGAATCTCGGAGCAGCCTCCGAAACAGCAGAATCCCAGGAGTGCGCCTTTATTTCTTAGAGAGGAACCCAGGAGCTGTTGCCTCGCAGACCAGCAAGCCGGACGAGACGCCTCATGAGCCGGTTAGTCAGGAGTCGTCTTTATTGCGTGCAGGTTCGGAGCAGGTCACCTCTGTCACATTCTGAGCACCCGGCGGAGGAAGCATCCTCTTTTTGTATCCTTTGGGTCCGTGGGTAAGTTATTTTTACAGACCATTTGCAACCTTGAGTGCATATCATATCTATACTGACACCTGTCATATCTATACAGACACCTGTGACCTTGAGTACATATATCTCACAAACACCTGTGACCTTGAGTATCATATCTATACAGGCACCTGGCATCAATATCAGCGTGCCAGTTAGATGGCTAGCTTGCAAGGTCAGACAATTAAGTTTATCTTTTCTATTCAAGCAAAATCAAAGTTATTTTACAGGCTAAAACCAACAGAGTTGAC